CCAGGACCCCCCTTCATTCATGCTTTCCACGGCCTTGGCGTCCCATGTGTTTGCCGAGGTGCCACCTTCCTTCTACAGGTGTATGCATTATATCATGGCATCTATGATCAAAGCAAAATCTTGACCAAGCGCATGGTGGAGTGGCAGGCGCCAGGCCCGGGTGCCTGGAAGCTGCGTCAGGGCAGGTTGCTGCGTCGGCGCAAGCGCCGGCCAATGGCCCGGCCCGCTGACGCCAGGGGTGGCCTGCCCCGAGCGCGCTGCGGCCACGGTGTGCAGCTGCATGCGTCGTTCCGACACGTACAGCTTACTTAAGTAGCATCACACCCGCTCCGGGGTAACACCTCTCGCACCTTGCAGTCCTCAGGGGTGGGCCTGCCCCAAGCTGGCGCAGGGTGGTTGCTAAGGATAAGACATACTATCGTGCCGACTAGCACACCTTGCCTCATCGCATGAATTTTACAGAAATCGATCTCGGGGCTTGAACGGTGGACGCTCGACGCGACAGGAATTACACGTGGGTATCTGGTTTATAAGGAATGTGACGGCGTAAGGATCATGCCCGTAACCCAGCTCGCTTCCCTCCCTGGGCGTCCATCGCCGTTTTCACTCTGTGGGGAAGCTGTGCGCAGTTTGCTGGGCTGTACAGCAGTGCGCCCTGCTGGAAGCAGCCCCCACCACCAACATGTGTCATTCCTAGGACGCGCGTGTGCATCTTACGATGCTGCATGTCGTACATCTCCAGTTCTGCTGCTGGCGAGGCAGCCGGTCACCTGCCATGGCGACTGACGTCACGTCAACAGCTGCTGGCAGCCGCCCAGTGGGCCACAGGACCAGTCTAAGCCCTCTGCTGCTGATTGACCCAGCAGAACCCACGGCAGCACTCCGGTCACATCCTTTTGAAAACCAAACCCCCTGACCTCGCCAGCGCCCAATGTGGATGGACAGCAAAGGGTTGCGTTGCGCACGTTCACGCAGTCAACGCAAGGTGTTGGCCCGTACCGCCCTGCACCTGCACCACGCCCTGCACAACCACCATCCCTCAATCCATTTGTGGAGGAACACCTTTTACTTGTATTTGGTAACACATTGCAAGACCATCCTTATACTGGATTCTAGTTAGCTTCTTGCAGCCCTGCAGCTGCCCGTACATGTGGCACCGCGCTTACTATCTGCCCCACCATCAAGCCAACGGAGTCCAAGTGCTGGGCTTGAGGCCGTCCATCGGCGTGTAACAGCTGTCAACATCCACTTGAGCCGTAATGCTGGTCTGTCCCGCCTTCTCCTTGACGCCTTTCGCTCGACGCCATACCGTCTGGCGGCCAGCCCGACAGCAGCAGGCGAGGTTGTACTATTGCAACTGCGCAACATCACATCGAGCGCGGCACACACCCGTTCCCGGATTCACAGCTTTCCTGCCTACTATAGCAATAGCACAGCCAATGTTCCGCCGCAGCCCACATTCAGTTGCTGCTGCCCCCTTAGCAACCCTCACCTACAGCGCGGCCACATGCCTTGCCATGGTGTTGGAAAATTTACCATGCATGCTACGACGGATTTATCCTCACCATCCCCTCCATACGGTACGGTAATGCTTAATGTGCAGCACCATTGCCTTCATGCCTGCAACAGACAAGCACCCACCTCTCTGGCGGTTTGATACACTCCTGGTGAGCCACGCACGCGGCAGACGCGCCTTGTGGAGGCATTCATAATGTTTTTTGGGAACCAATAAAAGGCCATTTCATGACGTCCTCAAGGACCCTCGGTCCTCGTGCGCTGTGACGGCACATCGATGTTGAACGGCTGTTCGACACAGAACCGCTCGCGTGGCGCTTCACTCTGGCCATGTGAAGGCCACATACAAATATATTGTAGTGCTCGGTATACCTCGCTGAAACCAGACATCAAAGCATCAGGCCAACGCTCGATCTCGAGTTTTCCGCTCCACACAACTCGCAACATCCATTGTGGCCACCAGTCATGCAAGCGCGTGCTTACACCAGGTTCATCTCGAGTAGTCGGCCACGCATCCCTGGCAGCACTCCTCACATCGGAAGCAGCGCCACCCTCGCGCGACGCCCCGTGCTGCTGCGTGCGGTGCCGGTCGACTTCGGCGCAATCGACATCCAAAACCTGTCAGCGGCGCCCAAGGAGGCTCTCGCCGTCATTGCCGCCGGGGTCATTGCACTAATCGGCGGCATAGGCGCAGCTGCCAGTGCAGGCGGGCAGATGGGCGGCGCCGCCACTGCGCCAAGCGCTGCGGTGACCCAGGCAGAGCCCGAGGTGCCGCCACCGCTGCCGCGAGAGAACGCCGTGCTTGTCCTCGGCGCCACCGGACGCGCGGGGCGCCTGATCGTTCAGGAGGTGCGCTGTGGTGCAGTTTGCGTTCCGGCTGGCGCCGCTGCCGCTATCTTGCGCCTGACGCAGCCGTCGCTCCAGTCGCCGCCGTACACCACAGGCTGCTCAGCCGTTCAGCAGTCGGTGGCCATCCGGCTGGCTGTGCGTGCATGCATGCGTTTGCCGCTGCGTTTTCCTCCCACAGTCCTGAAAGAGCAGCTTGAGCAGCAAGCGGGTCCCATGCAGTGAACGCATGCGCGGCGCTCAACCCATCACCCGGCCAACCGCACCACCCGCAGCTCCTGCGCTCCGGCCGCACCGTCGTGGCCGCCGTCCGCACTGCTGACAAGGCGTCGGAGGTCTTCTCGGCCCTGGAGTTGCAGGAGGGGCGCCAAGCTGAGGGCAAAGGGGACGGCATCCTGTTCGTCCAGGCGGGCGTGGACGTCACCGATGAGTCAACGCTCACTCCAGACCTGTTTGCGGGCGTCACCCAGGTGCGTATGTTGTGGATGACTGGGGGCTTACATGCCGCTCGCATGCCGCACGCATGTGTGGGGACCGAGTGTGTGCGGGGCATTGTTCGGCTTCCATGTTGGTGCTTGCTGGCATGCATGTGAGTGCCCCGCACATGCCTGGTGGATTGAGGGCATGGGAAGATGAGGCAGCGCGCCCGACTGGGGGGCGCAGCTTCTGATGGTGGCATGCGCGCAGGCCGGGTAGTGCATGATGCTGCCCGCTCGCCCATTGTTGAGTAGGATCGCTCTACTTCGGCAGAAGCCTGCTGCTTCACGCACTGGCACCCCGTCGCCCCTCGCCCGCACGCAACACCCCAGGTCGTCAGTGCGCTGGGCGGCGTGACTGGCCGCCTGCCTGACGGCACCTTTGGTTACCTGGACGGCATGACCCCAGAGGCCGTCGAGGCCAAGGGTGAGTTTGGGCCCTCGCCTGGCCGATGCGCCTGCTGGGTGGTCGCACATCGCGAGCCTGCGCAGTCGCTGCTGCAGCAGCCGCAGCCGCCCGGTGGCACCTCCTCGGCTCTCTCTTAAAATCATAAAACCTGCAAACACGCCCAACTTCGCATCCAGGTATGGCCAATGTGGTGGCGGCCATGAAGCAACACCTGGCCCCTCAGATTCGCACCACCCAGGAGGTTCTGCCCATGCGCACGGCCGAGGTGCGCATGCACATATGCCACACTCGCCACAACAGGGTTCTGGTGATTTGCCCTAGCGGCCTTTCTGTATCACAGTAGCCCCTTGGCAATGCCTTCTTATTCCTCCTTGGTGCTGATCTTCTCATTGAAACTGGATTCCAGCATGTGTTCCAGCCAAAGGGCCCCAACACTCCATGCGCCGCAGGATCTGGAGGCTTGGGAGCGCCTCGATGACGTCATCATGGGGGGGAGCAGCAGCAGTGGCCTCACGGCCCTGGAGGACGGCAGCGGGGCGGCGTGGAAGGGCGACCTGGTCGTGGAGGTGGGTGTTGGTGGCTGAGGTGTGGATTACGTGTGTGCGTGTGTGGGGTGTGTGCGCGCACGCCTTGGTGTGTGGAGCAGGGCTTTTTCCATTTGTGAACGCACGCATAAGCGAGCGTGTGCGCATGCGTGCGTGCATGTCTATGTGCTTGTAGGTGCGCCCTCTCGCGCAGGAGGTCCGATAGTATGCTGGGGTGCGGGGATGGTGGCCACCCGGCCTCCACCCGCTGTTTGGCCCGCTTGGGTCAGGGAATGTAGCAGCTGTCGTCAGCTTGGGAGGCGCTCTCCATTGATGATGATCGATTTCTCATGCACTTGCACCTTCCTCCAAGTGACTCCGTCTCGCCGCCCCATTTGGCATCTTTCCAGGGCGGCGGCTTCTGTGGGGCGCGCACGCGCAAGCTGGGCCTGGACCTGTCGCAGTTTGATGGCTTGAGGATGAGGGTGAAGGGCGACGGCCAGACTTTCAAGTTCAACATCAAGACGGTGGGTCGCGCGGAGAATGGCTGCCGTGTGATAGACAAGGCGCTGGTTGGGGCGAGTGGAGCTATGTTGACCTCTTCAACACCAGTGGTCTTGGGCACACGTGCATGCTTACGGACACACACACGCAACACACTTGCTCACATACATCTGTATATACACACACAAACACAACATCACATGTATCTTGATTGCTGTTTGACAGGCGGACCAGGAGGACACCCCAGAGTCGACTTACCAGGTGGGCAACACACCGCAGCTCGCAACATTGTCTCACCATGTCACTGGATGCTTGTGCGCTCGCTCCATTGAGCAACTAAATCCAAACCGAAGCACCTCTTGCTACCCACCCCGCAAGCGCTCTGCATCGCTGTGCTCCTTGTACGAGATGGTGTATTCACTCACCAACCCCTCCCCCCTCCCCAGGCGACCTTTGATACGTCAGAGGAGGGCGACTGGACGACAGTTCACCTGCCGTGGCACAGCTTCGTGCCCGTGAAACGCGCCCAGAGCGATCCCCAGGGGGAGCCCCTCAGGGTACGCCCTTGGCTCTCGCGCCGCCTGCCGGCCTCCGCCGCCACCCGGCTGGCCGCTGTTTGCAGGGCAAATTTGGCCACATCCGTACGGGCGCGCTGCTGCGGATAGCTACTCGCCCACCCCTCAGCCTTGACTCATGGTTGCTAGGAGCACAACAGCACAACGCCTCAAGCACTTGCGGGCGCCGTGTTTGGGAATTGCTGTCACTGGACGGCCCTCTCTGACTGTGTGATCCCAGGGTGAAGCCATCTCCAAGCTGGGGCTGGTCCTGAGCCGCTTCGAATTCAACAAGATGCCCAACCCCCGCTACCACCCTGGTGGGTTTGCTGTCTGGGTGATGCGTGGCGCCCTTTGACTCGGGCGCGTTGCGTCTGCACTTGCAGTGCGCAGTGTCGCCTAGACATTGCTGGAGACAGCCACATGCATGCCCCAATCAACACGCTCAAACCTGCAACGCGCTTCAAACATGCAACACGCTCCGATGCGCCCCCCACTACTCAAAGGCCCCTTCGAGCTGACCATTGGCGGCGGCCTGTCGGCGTACCGCGACCCGCGGCCCCAGCTGCTCGTGATTTCCTCAGCCGGCGTGGAGCGCAACGCCATCATCGGCGACGACGCAGGTGCGCCTGGGGTTGTGCGGAGCACCCCTTTGCACGGCAGCGGGGCTTTGTTCAAGTCCGTTGTCAGCACTGCGCATTCTGGTTGCTGTCTGGGTGCCCACTTTCATCATGATCACCGGCACAGCTTGCAAGCGGGCAGTCGGCTTTAATCCAGCTCTGTCCTCGACGCACGAATCCCGCACCTCATTTATCACCCCCTCTCCTCAACCTTCTGTCTTCCGAATCACACCACTCGTCCCACACCACAGCAGCGCACACACGTGCACGTCTTCCCCAGGACACCATCCCTATTTTCATCTGTTCGTCTGCCTTGTGACCCATCCATCCCACCTTCAATCAACTCCCAAAAATATACGTGCGCCGCAGAGGCCCGCAAGAAGGACATCCCCATCGTCCAGCTCAACCCAGGGGGCGTCCTCAACTGGAAGTTCGAGGCCGAGTGCGTCGCGCGCGCCAGCGGCTTCCCCTACTCGGTCGTCCGCTGCACAGGTAAGCGTCGTTCCCCGTCTCCGTTGCCCCTGACCCGGCCTCGCCTCTTGCTGCCATCACCACACAGCTCCCAGCGTGCCCGCACGCTCATGAGGTTCAGCCCGTCGCGCGACCTGTGGCCTTCTGCCTGCTGCAGCCCGCAGCAGCGCGCCACCTCCCTGAGCACCTTATGCTCATCCCAATGTTACAGGGCTGGACGACGGCTCGGCCGCGGCGGCCGAGCCGCGCCTGCTGGAGGCTGACCAGGGAGACAGCATCAGCGGCAAGGTCTCGCGCGCTGAGGTGGCGCTCGTCGTCGCCGCGGCGCTGGCCAGCCCCGACGCCGCCAACAAGACGTTTGAGCTGCGCAGGTGGGCTCCTGCGCTGCGCCGTCGTGCTGAGCCCGGCCGGATGTTGTGCGTGCGCGCATTCGCGCCACCTGCTTCATCAAATTCAGCCCCTACCAAAGCTCACTTGCGGCCATGCGTGGCGCTGCGGCGCCCCTCTTGACCACCCCTTTCACGGCGTCCGGCAGCTGAACTCAAAGCACCCCGCCTTTTGCATCAATTTCCTCCCCCTCTGATCTGGGTGTCACCCCGCCATGCGCCGCAGGAACGAGGCGGTTGACGCGAAGGGCAAGACCACGGGCCCGCGCCAGCTGACGCGGCTCTTCCTTAAGCTGGCGCTGGGTGAGCATGCTAGGTTGTTGTGGTGCCAGCCTAGCATCATAATTTGCTTCGATCAATTGCCATGACATGCTCCAAGCCTACCCTCATTCAAGTTTTTGGTTTTGCGGTCACTGGGACAACAGCCCAATGGAGCTTTTCAACAGCCGCTGCACAGTCAGACTGGCACCTGCAGCCACCTTGCAGCCTGTGCTTCCTCTCCTTCACAAGACCTGATCAGACGCGCTCCCCCGCTTTTGCGTGCCTGCACCCCACTTGCATCACCACGCCCGCCCGCCCGCTCGCGCGTGCTGTGCAGACTCGCACCGCTGGCGCGTGGGGCTGCAGCCTTTCCCGCGGGCGGTGCCGCCGCCGGCGCCGCCCACAGAGGAGCGCAAGGCGGAGATCCTGGCTGACCCCAGGTGGGGCCTGGTACCGATGATGGCGCCAATGGCTGCAGGGATTGCGCCCGGCCGAGCTGTTGATACGTAGTTCAAGGGAGCAGAGGGCCCAAGCGAGCGCCACGGTGTTGGCATCAGCCGCATCTCACCCTTTGTCACTCACGCGCTCTGCTTGCGGTCAGTGGGCCGGCGGCGTCGCTGCCGCACGCCCCCTCCGCACCCACGTTGCCCTTGCGCGGCTCTTCCTCATTTTTGGGCCCCGTCTCAAAATCCCACCGGCCCGTCGCCCTGCAAACCTTGGAACTAAACCAGTCAACCCACGCCCACACATCTGCTGACCCTCTGTATCCTGCTCGTGTGCCGCAGGGTCCAGGAGGTGCGCGACCGCCAGCAGCGCGCCAGGGTGGGTCTCGCCCCCGAGGGCCAGCAAGAGGGTGGCGGCAACGGCGACGGCGCCGCTGCGGCTGCGGGCGAGGGCGGCGACGGCAGCGCCAAGGAAGCGTCAGAGGCACCGTCCAAGGAGCTGGTATCTTCCAAGGCGTGACCTGGCTGCTGCCAGAGCGCGTCACGTGATGACGAGGGGCAAGGCTTGCAAACCATGCGAAGGCAGGGTGATGAGGTGTGCCGGAGACGACTGAAACGACAGCAGATGCGAGGGGCAAGGCACGTGCGCGGCTCTGTACCGCGTGCAGCATTTTCTATACATACTGCTCCCCCCCTCGGCTCAACCTGAGCCTTGCGTCTTGACCGCGTTGATCTGAGTCATTGTGGTTTTGCAGTCGTGAGGGGTGGTTTTGCAGCTGTGGGGAGCGGGCTTGTGGGGCTACCTTACGACTAGAGGAGAGCTCATCATCGCATCCTGCCCCATCAGCGTTGACCAGCAATTAGCCTCGCCGGGGCGATCAGACTGCTTGTTTGCATGCCCCGGGTGCCATTGTTTTGTCATTACCTGGCCTGGCTTCGCGCACGCTGATTGTCAGTAGCAGCTGCCAACCCAACCCATCAGGCAGCGCAGAGGTGATTCATACTGGCAGTTGGTCTGGTCTTGAGTCTGCCACAATGAATGGTGTGCGTTTTGACAACGGCTCAAACTCCAATTGAGGCACGAGTGACGGCCGATCAACCTGCCGCGCTGCAACCAGCAAGCGGCGGCCTGGGCCGGCGCACCGCAATCCTGGTGCGTGCTTGAGTGCGGGTGTTCGGTTCCGCTGCGATGTGGAATTCAGATGCCACGGGCTGTAACACATGCTTTGCATTGAGATGTCCTGGACACTCAGGCAGCCAGTGACGCGGCGCTTGGTTCTCAACAGGCACCACATCTTGTGCAGTCCCTCTTGAGTCGCAGGGGCACAGCGCATGCTAGTACGGCCCCTCAGGTGCGCGGCGCATATGGACCCTGCACGACATGCATGCCCGGTCATCAAAGTTGCTCAGCGCCAACCAACCGGCAAAAATTGCCATGTGAGTCACCACGGCGCTGACTACGCTACCACTGCTCGCTGGAAGATGGGGTTGGCAAGGCGTCAGCAACTCAGCATGTGAGCAATTGAGGGCGTCACGCACCGTGCGTCGGCGCATGTGTGATTGACAAGCCTCGCCTCCAATCTTCGAACTTATAATGTTCCGCCCTGCAGACTAAGGCCTGGGTTAGTCGCAGGGCGCCTGGCTGAAATTAGCTCAGTCCACTGGTATGAGTCTCGTGTTTCGTGTGGACGGCGCCCTCGGATGTGACAATGAGACTTGTTACAACTATCAACGGCAAGCGCTACACTCACATGCAGTTGTATATGTTTAACGGACCTTGCCTCAAGCAGAGGTCACGGCATGTCATCATAACGGTACCGTTCACTAAAGCTCCAGGCCCCAGCTCACCACCGTGACATGGCCACCCACCCATGCATCACCTGCGCTGGATACGGCCACTGTATTCGACAAGCTCGGTACCCAGAACTACTGCTGCAACATTGTGTGCACCGCTTGCACGCCCCCGAGGTATCTCAACACCACGCGCTGATCTGGTGATCTGAGCTCAGCTTGGCTCGTCCACCAGCCAGCACTAAGCATGTTTCCACAGGGATCCGGTGGCATTCCAGGCATGGGAATGCCAGGGTTGGCCCCGCAGGCCGGCCAGATGCCGGGAATGGCAATGATGGGCATGCCGCAGATGGTGTTTCCGCAGGGAGGCTTGGATATGTCGGCTATGGGTGGTATGGGTGGCATGGTGAGACCCGGGCAGGGACGGCGCACCACCTGCGCATGCGCTTGCACTTGCAGATCATGCGCAGCATGAGTGCCTGATGCGCTGCAGGGACGCTTTGCTGATTTAGCCCCTCCTGTCTGCAGGACATGTCCATGATGGGGGCCATGGGCATCATGCCAGGCATGGGCGGCATGCTGGGCGCGCCCGGCCTGATAAACGGCGGCATGATGGGCGGTGGCGGCGGCATGGGCGGCATGGGCAGCGGCGACGGCGGCGGCGGCGGCCAGTTTTACAAGACGCGCCTCTGCCGTCTGTAAGCTGCCCGCGCAGGCCCGGCAGCTTGTTGGCGCAGTTTGGGCCCCTGGTTGCATATGGCGTGGCCCGCTGCAGTGGGGTGGAGGGATTTTTGTGCTGAGCAATATGGCCCTCGTTGCTGCCGCCTCTTGCCAGCCCACAAAGCACCCATGCACGCTGCCGCTCGTCCAAACAACGGCAGGTGGCAGGAAGGCAAGTGTCACTTTGGCCCGACCTGCAAGTACGCACACGGAGACGGCGACCTGCGCCCCGACGCCGGCGG